ACATGGCCAGCAAGACACTCCCACCCAGTCACATGACTGCCAAGCCACTCCCACTCAGTCACATGGCCAGCAAGACACTCCCACCCAGTCACATGGCCAGCAAGACACTCCCACCGGGTCACATGGCTGGCAAGCCACTCCCACAAAGCAGGCCACACCTGCAGAAGAGGTTCTAAAAGAAATTTGAAACCCACCACTGGACTAGAGTCACGGGACACTGGCTATCCAGGTAGGGGAATCTTCCTGTATTGGCCTTCAACAACAGAGGAGGCACAGGTAGTCGTTTTCAGCAATGTAACTGCTCATCCCTTTTGAGTTTGGGTACATTTGTGGCTTTACAATTATTATCTAATTGTAGGACAAAAAGTGGGGGGGGAATAATAATGCTTTTGGATCCTGATATGAGAAAACACATTAGTTTTACATCTCACATCCCAAAAAAAACCCCCTACATTTAGTCAAAAAATTAGGCCATGTTTCTGATACAATTGCTTGAGTTTTTCCTAGATGTTGTTGGATTTTCACAGTAACTGCTTTCGTTGTACATTATGAACAATTCTGAGGGTCAAAAGCACCTTTGATGCCCATCGCACTACCTGAAAAATAAAGTATGTTAAAGTGATGTCACCTGAGTTGCTGGAGGGATTTTTTTTTAATATAAAAAGCTGTGCTCTTAGATGTTTGTTTGACTTTAACAACTGATCATAAAATAAATTGCCCAGTAATTCTTTTGACCTTTGGGCCAACTACCTGAATTAGTCTGTGTGTTTATCTAAAATCAAAAATCTGGGCTACTTTCCAAATGCTTATTTATTAACTGGACTTTTTTCCCCCCTCTTTTTCTACATCTAGCAGAGGTATTTTCATTTTTTAGGCATGCTCGGGCTGAGGAACTGCCTCTTGGTTCATCAAGTCTCAGCAAGCTGTTTCAAGGTGTTCCTCTACTGGAACAACACCTGTATGTTCGTCTGTCGTGTGCAGCTGTCTGCTCAACTACCTTAAAGAAAAAGAAACAATGCCTCTTTCTGAGAAAGAATGTTCAACAGTCCAACCCAGGTATGCAAGGGGGAATGATGTCCCGGATGGTCGACACCTTAGCAGAAAAGGATATCCTTCTGGGTCCTGACCGAAAATACACTATCCAAAGCATGCCTTTCCTGCTAGATCTCATGGCATGGTAGTCACCTCATGGGACAGATACTCCCTTAAGTAACTCATCTCCAAGCCATAAAGGTCTTTGAAGGTAATATGTGGGGCCCAAAGAAATTGCTCTAAATCAACATGATTTGCAATGCGCTCTACATGGAAAGCGTTAGGAGAATACAGCTAGTCCAGAATGCAGCCGCGCGAGCGATATTGGGTGCACCGAGATACACCCAAATTACTCCTGTCCTCCGCGATCTGCACTGGCTGCCAATTGGTCTCCGGGCGCAATTCAAGGTGTTGGTTATTACCTTTAA